TATTGAAATCTAAATTTTAATAACTTCAAATATCATATTAATAATTTTAAAAATATATAAAAATTTATATTTTATCCAATAAATTTTTAGCTGAAGCAACAATATTAAATTTAAAAAAACCCGGTCTCATGCGTTATTTTAAGTCATCATACATGAAGACAAAAAAATTGACTATAAGATGCAGGTCTTTTTCGTGTCAGACGGGGCAATAGACATGCCAATTTCTCCCCATGACACGTCATCTTTAGATGATTACCTTTATTAATTTGAAATTAGTGCAGCTCACCTATAATTAACGAAGGCTAATTACCTTGAAAGCTAAATGTAAACCAAGCTGGAGCTTTCAGAGCAAATTGTTTAATTGTCATTGTGAAAATTTAGAAATTACATAATATTACAACATCATTACTGTGACGTTTTAATTTTTTTAAAATTTTAATCAGATTTGATATTTTTAAAAAAACTTTTTGACCGTTGAAGGCGGCTCCTGATATAAATCTTCACAGTTAAGCGCAGTTTTGGCTTTAAAACGTGTTCAGACTTCAAATTTCAAAGAAGAAGTGACAAATTCTAATTTTCATTCAATTAAATAGTTTTATGATTGAAGTTCTACCTCAAGACAATTTATGTACGATCTTCTGATATAGTTAAAAGTAATTATGATAAATTTGGATAAACTAGCTGATAAATATATTGAGAGATCATTTTAATGACCCCTTTCAAATGCTTATTTTATTTATATTTTAATATTAAATAAAAATATATATTTGATGCTTATTTTTCTCTTTAAAGTATGTTGCGGATGATTTGGTTTGGGACAAATTTTTTACTGTTTTATTTTTTTCAGCTCGTAATCATAATTTTTATTTGATTACTCCTTTTAAAAACAATTTGTACAAGAAAATTGCTTTCTACAATAGCTTAACAAGTTGTTTTCTCTATAATTTTACCAAACAATAAGAAAGACATCTCAAATGAAGCTAATATGTTGATGAATAGATTTTGGGTGGTGGATGTAGGGGTGTAAACTTCGGGTTTTGGGTCGGATTCGGGTCGAACCCAAGAC